CCTGCTTTTTTTTTTTCCAAACCCTGTTTTTTATGGAGCTAAGACTCTTTCTTAAATCTGCTGAGCTCCAGTATGAATGGCCTAGATGAAGAATACCCTAAACAGATCATCCCCTGAAGTTTAATATATATGTGTATATATATATATATATTTCTTATTTTCTCTCTCATATTTCTTTCTCAAGGTTAAAGGTAAGCTAAATGGACACTCAAAGATTTTATAGCCTTGTGATTCTCTAGCTATATTCTTTTTAATTTATTATTTATTATTGTTATTTTTTAATCCTCACCCAAGGACAGATATATATATATATCCATATATAATATGTTTTCAAATTGATTTTTAGAAAGAAAGGGAGAGAGAGAGAAAACATTGATGTGAGAGAGAAACATTGATCAGTTGCTTCCCTTATACACTCTGACTGCGAATCGAACCTACAATATAAGCATGTACCCTGACTGGAAATTGAACCCTTCACTTTTTGGTGCAGGGGACAACACTCAACCAACCGGACTACTAGGCCAGAGTTCTAGCTGTATTCTTTGACCAAATTTACTCATAAGCCAGATTGTATTGCTTGCATTGAGTTTGTAAGAAATAACTGGGTTTAATTAGATCAAAACAGAGCATTACTACTTTATTGTAAAGTTTTTTATGACTGAACTTGGAAAAATAACTAAACATTTTTTTAAATGCTCAATGGTAGGAGATGCAGGAAACAGACCGTAGTTTCTAAAGCTCTTTTGCTGAAGAATAGGATAGAACAGGTCGGCAGGCCTTGAGTTGGAGAGCTCTACAGTTGCATGGAAACTAGGAAGATGTTGGGCTGTGCTTGGCAGATAGGGGTTTTGGTTGGTAGAGTGGAGTTCAGACACTGAAACCAAGTAAGAGCTGGGAACAAACCAAAGAGGAAATGGGGTGTACCCAGGTGAGCAGTCAGCAATCAGGAGGCTACAGGCACCCAAGGGCAAAGTAATATGAAGTTTCCAAAGTCTGAAAGGGCAGGTAATAAACTGAGAACACCACAGGGAGGGAAAACCAGGGAACCAGAAACTCAGCAAGCTGTGTGAGCACTGGCACCAACAACAAAGACCTCGATAACAGGGGCCAAGCCCTGTTTATGATGTAGTTGGAAAGGCATGAGCCAAAAGAATCTGACCTCAAATTCCTCCCCAACCACGCCTTGTGACCCCGAACTTCTAGCCCCGTGTCCCAGTTCCAGGCACAGAGAAAGGAGAAATGAATCACCAGGAGATTCAATTTCTCATGTACAGAATAAGGGTTTTACCTGCCTCCACAGGGTTGACATAAGGACACAAAAAAATGAATGTAGTAAAGATATCAGGAAATACCTAACATGCCTTGAACTAGTGCTCCGTAAATACTGGCTTCTCTTTCTTCTTTTCGATAAGGATCTTCCATATTTACTTTCAGCTGGGGCAGGAGACCAGAGAGGATTTGAGAACCAGTAAAGGTCAGTGGTTATGTAGGCTGAAAGGAAAGCGAGGAGCAGGAGAGAAAGCCTAAAATACTGACACGGGCCTGGGAATTTGCCAGGGGCAGGGAGGTGTATGTTTAAATTGTTGGTACCTTTCAGAAGTAGCTTTCAGCTGGAAATTCCTGTCAGGACAGGATTGTGGGATACTTTCTATTTTGAACTAAAATAACTTAATGCTTAAAAAAAATCCTGGTCAGTTTCTGTTTGCGATCCCTTGACCTTATTTTCATTGTCAATGAAGTTTCTTGTAGGAGCAATTGAGAGGAGTGTATATGTGTGCAATGGCTGGTATGGAGAGATAGGAGAACCATTTAGAAGCTGTGTTTGCAAAGCCAGTGTACTGTCTTTACTTACATAATGTGTTATTTAGGGTGGGCTTACAAAGGGGGGGGGAGTTGATAAAGATAATTTTCCACAATAAAAAGTTGATCTAAAATTAAATTCTGTGGTGTCATTTCCTTGGTTATAACCTTATGTTCCACATCCCTCCTCCACATGCCAGCGCCCTGAGGCTAAAATCCAAATTCTTTAATATGACAGATAAACATTTATGATCTTCCTGTAGCATAGTGTGTGGCCTCATCTTTTACTGCTCTACCTCTCCCGTACTAGCCTGAGGCCTAAGTAAGCTATTTAAAATTCCAATAGTATCCCATGTTCTCTTTTGGATTTTCATAAATTATTTTCACTCTACCTGCAATAATTTTCTTCTTCCACACTGTTTGTCTTCAAACTCCTACTTATGCTTTATATCCTACTTTGGAAGTCACTTCTTCCAGGAAGTCTTCCTCAAATCTCTTAAGGCTGGGCCAATTGTCTTCTTCACCATATGCTTCTATAGTTTCCAGTACTTGCTTCTATTGTGGAAAAAAAAAATCACATTGTGCAGTAATTATCTATATACTATTGCCCCCCCCGCCCCCCCCCCAAAAAAAACCCCACAAAAAACTGTGGATGTTGAGGGGACAAGAACTATCTGGTCAACCCTGTATCCCAAATACCTGAAAGAGAGTACATATTCAATAAATATTTGTTAATAAACTGACCCTGAGCAAAATATTTCCCAGCAACAAAAACAATCCAGAGCAACTTTGGTGATAATAGAGCACATATTGGAGCATCAGTAACTCTTGAATAAAACTAATTTAAATTGTGCAGATGCCAACAAAAAGCCTTTATAAGGCCATGAAGTACCATTATAGAATCAAACTTATATGTTTATGTACACAGGTGTGTGTCTGCTTTCATAAAAGCCTATTGAAATCATGAAAAAAATGGTAAAATTAGTTGGGATGTTAGAGGTTTTCCTGAAGCTCAAATGGGATAATACAGTGAAATATTAACATTGTACTGACACATAATAAGCAGTAATAAGTGGTGGTAACCACTTAATGTTGTTGTTATTATTAATGTCAGTGAAATGTTTAGTTTCCTGGGTTCTGTGATGACCATCCACCTGGACAATATCCTTCCTTGCTCTGCATTTGGCTGATCTCAGTTTAGGTTGCTGTATCCCCTCAGATCTCTCCTGCAATTAATTAGCTTTCCGCTCCTGGGTAATAGACTGAATAGTGTTCCTAAAGATATCCAGGTCCTAATGCCTGGATCCTGTGAACATTACCTTATATGGCGAAAGAGGCTTTGAAGATGTTATTAAATGAAGAATCGTGAGGTGAGAAGATTATTCTGGGTTATCCAGGTGAGTCCCAATGCAACCACAGGCATCCTTATGTGAGGGAGATTTGACAAACAGAAGAGGCAAGTGACCACTGAGGCAAGATGTTGTGCTGCTGGCCTTGATGATGGAGGAAAAGGTCCGTGAGCCAAGACATGCAAGAACTGCAGCCCTTGAGGATGGAAAAGCTAAGGAAACAAATTCCTCTCTAGAGACTCCAGAGGGAGCTTGACCCTCCCTATACCTTGATTTTGCCCAATAAACCTGATTTGGGGCTTCTTACCTCCAGAATTGTAAGAGAATAAATAGGTGGTGTTTTAATACACTACATTTGTGGTAATTTGTTACAGCAATACACCCTCCAAACCATGATGACCCATTCATTTGGTTTCCATAAGGACAGATGTTTTTCTGAACACTCCTGGCCTTTTGCCTCTTGGGTTGTTTCATGGGTAAATGCTATTTGCTGCCATAACCCCCTTCACTTCTTTTTTTCCGTTAGTATGCTGTTTGTTTTCCTCGCCACCTGCATCATCAGTTCTGTGAGGACAGAGTCCAGGTTTGTTTTGTTAGTCTTGGCTTCCTTAACCCTTTGCCTGGGGCATGATATTACATTCAAATGTGTGAAATTACCCATGGTAGACCATTGGCAGTTTCATATGATTCAATCTAAGGTTCTTAATTAAGGTGTGTTGAATAAAAACATCCAAGGAGAAGAGTAATTTAAGTTCTTTAAGTGTCAGGGACTGGTCCTGAACCCCATCCCCATCTCTTCAGTTCCCTAATCATGGAAGCCAGGAAGATCACGTGGGTGAGGGAGTCCCACGGCTAGAAGCCACGTCTCCGGTCATTTCTTGCCCTGTAAATACAATAGTTACATCTAATTACCGAATGCAAGCAAACTCAGTTATAAGACAAAAAACAGGACTCTGGATTTCATCATGTAGAGTGTTTTGCTGTAATTAGCTCATTAATTTTGGCAATAGCCCTACATATCGATGCTGTTTATTCTCACTTTACAGATAAGGACATTGAGACACAGAGGGTGTAAGTAGCTTATCCAGGGCCATGTTACTTGCTAGTGGCAGTGCTGTGATTTAAGCTCCGTATGATTCCAGACCCCACCCTCCATTGCCTTGAGAAGCACCAATTGAGGCAGAGGCATTAGTAGCACAAGGTAACATATGAGAGACTTGTGTGTGTCTGTCTCTGGGACACAGCACTTGAGGGAGGATTGATCTCTCAAATTTCATGAAAGGATTTTCTAGTACATCTGAGTACAATGAGCCCCAGTGTGAAAAGGATGCAGTTCTGCTGATAATTCTGTCCTGCAAACTAGTAAGTCATTTTCTGCACGCATAGGAGCTAATATTTATCACCAGAAAACTGGCATTTTACAAGACCTGTAAGTTTAAACAGTTCAGAAAGGTCACAGGAAACAAGAGGCAAAGAGAATGGGTCTGTTTGGAAATAAAACAACTGTATACAAAGCTTTCTTTGGAGAACTAATAATATTTGGGTAAAATTAGCAAATTTAGATTATTGTGTCATTATCAATAAGATTTTTTAGGATAATTTCCCTCAATAGGTTTATTTTCCCCTCAGGCTTAAGGTATAATTGAGAATTAAAATTGTATATATGTAAGGTGCACAGTGTAATAATTTGGTATATGTATAGCTGTGAAATGAATGCCAAAGTCAAAATAAGACACCCATCACTTTACATACTTTTCTATTATTTTTGTGGTAAGAACACTTAAGATGTACTCTCTTAGCAAATTTTAAGTGTACATTACAGTATTATTAACTACTAGAGGCCTGGTGCGGAAGCCAGGAAGATCACGTGGGTGAGGGAGTCCCACGGCTAGAAGCCACGTCTCCGGTCATTTCTTGCCCTGTAAATACAATAGTTACATCTAATTACTGAATGCAAGCAAACTCAGTTATAAGACAAAAAACAGGACTCTGGATTTCATCATGTAGAGTGTTTTGCTGTAATTAGCTCATTAATTTTGGCAATAGCCCTACATATCGATGCTGTTTATTCTCACTTTACAGATAAGGACATTGAGACACAGAGGGTGTAAGTAGCTTATCCAGGGCCATGTTACTTGCTAGTGGCAGTGCTGTGATTTAAGCTCCGTATGATTCCAGACCCCACCCTCCATTGCCTTGAGAAGCACCAATTGAGGCAGAGGCATTAGTAGCACAAGGTAACATATGAGAGACTTGTGTGTGTCTGTCTCTGGGACACAGCACTTGAGGGAGGATTGATCTCTCAAATTTCATGAAAGGATTTTCTAGTACATCTGAGTACAATGAGCCCCAGTGTGAAAAGGATGCAGTTCTGCTGATAATTCTGTCCTGCAAACTAGTAAGTCATTTTCTGCACGCATAGGAGCTAATATTTATCACCAGAAAACTGGCATTTTACAAGACCTGTAAGTTTAAACAGTTCAGAAAGGTCACAGGAAACAAGAGGCAAAGAGAATGGGTCTGTTTGGAAATAAAACAACTGTATACAAAGCTTTCTTTGGAGAACTAATAATATTTGGGTAAAATTAGCAAATTTAGATTATTGTGTCATTATCAATAAGATTTTTTAGGATAATTTCCCTCAATAGGTTTATTTTCCCCTCAGGCTTAAGGTATAATTGAGAATTAAAATTGTATATATGTAAGGTGCACAGTGTAATAATTTGGTATATGTATAGCTGTGAAATGAATGCCAAAGTCAAAATAAGACACCCATCACTTTACATACTTTTCTATTATTTTTGTGGTAAGAACACTTAAGATGTACTCTCTTAGCAAATTTTAAGTGTACATTACAGTATTATTAACTACTAGAGGCCTGGTGCATGAAATTCGTGCATGGATAGGGTCTCTAGGCCTGGCTGGCGATAAGGGCTGATCAGGGCCTTCTGGCTGCAGGCCCGGGCCTTCCTTTGTTCCATGCTGCCTGCTGGTGGTCAGCACACATCATAGCGAGTGGTCGAACTCCCAGTCAGTAGAACTCCTGAGGGGACAATTTGCATATTAGCCTTTTATTATATAGGATAGTTAACATAGTGTACATCCATAGAACATAGTCATCTTATAGCTGGAAACTTGTATCCTTTGACTAACAATTCTTCATTTCCCCTACCCCTTAGCTCCTGGCAACTACCATTCTACTCTCTGTTTCTATGACTATGACTTCTAAAATTCCACAAACAAGCCTTACCACCCAGTATTTGCCTCTTTACATCTGACTTATCATAATTAAGTTTTTTTAAAAATATTTTATTGATTTTTTACAGAGAGGAAGGGAGAGGGATAGAGAGTTAGAAACATCAATGAGAGAGAAACATCGATCAGCTGCCTCCTGCACACTCCCTACTGGGGATGTGCCCACAACCAAGGTACATGCCCTTGACTGGAATCGAACCTGGGACCCTTGAGTCCACAGGCTGACGCTCTATCCACTGAGCCAAACTGGCTAGGGCATAAATAAGTTTTTATATATATTTTTATATTGCAGACAATTTCCTAAGACCTACTATTTTATAAAATTAAACAAGGTTTAGCAAAAATATGTTTGGTGGGTTTTGTAATAGATATATAGATATATCACTGCCTTACTTGCAACCTGAATGCACTAATTGAGACCTTGGGGTTGTGTTATAGTGGAGGCTGTTGGTCTAGTCTACTGAGACTAAACTCATGATGCTGGTACATTTCTCATTGTCAACACTTGAAAACACAAATGTTTAAGGTGTTTTATTCTGGTGTATTTAGTTGAGCCTATTCTAAGCATCAAGAGACCAAGTTTACATGAAAAATGAAAAATGCCAAAGGTGAGGGAGTGTGCTGTGTCTTATCTCCTGCAGCGTGCGTTCCCACAGAGTAATATCCTTTTTACTATCTAGGGGAACACTGATGTTCAGATTCCCACTGCAATACCCTCTTGCAATTTCCTTCCTTATCACTCCAGAAATGAGACAGATGGTGAGGGGCACTTGGGATCCACATTTACTATATGTGTAATACTGTCTAAGCTAAGTGGAACTTTCAACTCAGTTTTGTCAAAGGCAGTATTTGTTGAAAGCCAGTGATTTACAAGACACATTGATAGTCACTGCAAAGACCTAAAGCTCTTGATTGATTGCTATTAAGCAACCTCCTTTTCTGGAGTACATCGGAAGTCGAGAGGGCTGCCTGTGAGCATTTATTATACTGGGAGGTTGGGATTGTGAATGGAGCTTAGTCAAAGGTGTGCTTCTCTAGGCCTGAGTCTATGCTTAGAAAGTCACTCAAATGAGAGAATTTGATAAATATTTACTGTGTAGGTGCTCTGTGCCTTTCTCTAAACACAAGCTCCAAAAAAAAAATTAACTGAATGGGCATTTATTGGGTATTTATAGAGCTCCTGTCATGTACCTGGCACTGTGTTGAGTGTAGGGGATTCACTGTAGAGCTTGATTCTCAGTCCCTGCCTCAAAGAACACGCACAAGATGACATGTGCAACAGAGGCAGCAGCAAGATGGTCAACAAAGGGGCAGGTACAAGACAGCAGAGCCCTGGTCAACTCAGTTTCCGCCACTATTTTCATTTGCTTCTCCAAACGTTCTTTCCCCACCTTGTCCACCGTGCTTTGCACCCAGGAGGCTGGTCTGTTATTGCTACTCCATGTAATTGCTGCCCCTTCCTTCTGGCTTCATGCTGAGCTTGGAGAGCACCCCTAGGGAACTGAAGAGGGGAAAACAGTGAGGTCATAATATTTACCCCTCACTCCTTCCCTGGGAAAGCCATTAAGAATTAATGTCTTTGAAACTGCTGAAAGTTATACAAACCCACATTTATATGTAAGATAATAATCAAAATAGGCAGTACATGTTGTCGACCAAGCATAAATTAATCAGGAGGCTTTGCTAAAATAAAAAATGACAAAGTTCTAATCAAGGGTTTTAGGATTTGCACATCAAAAACACTGCCAGGTAACACCAGAATGTCCTGAAGAAAACAGAAAAAGTTGAGAGTTCATACAGTAAAGCGTCATTTGAGAGGTTCCTGGGAAACTCAGAGTCCTTATGACTTGGATTAAATTTAGTTTTAAATCCTAGCTCTAGAAATCATCTCTATCTCTGTCTCTGTCTCTGTCTCTCTCTCTTTCACTGTCTATACACATCCTAGACCTAGCCTTTCCCCTTAATTAGCAACCCCCAGAGGCAGCAGAAGACAGTAGCTGGCCCTGACAATGGTGACACTGTCTGAACCTCTGGCAGGCTAAAGATCACATCTTGACATAAGTTATGTTTCAGCTCCTGAACACTAAGGTGGAAAGACCCCTGGCTACTTTCCCATGAGATGGACTGAGGGACTCCAGAAAAGACCTCAGAGCTGTCCTCAAGACCTGAAAAAATGATTCTTTACCCTTACCTCACCCCCAGCAAATCAGCTCCCAGCAGACCCCGGACCCTCTAACCCACAGTCTTGTGATTTTGCTCTATGTAATCTGTAACCTACACGCCACTGGGGAGTTTGGCCTTTTGAGCATTCGCTTCCCGTTCTGGGTGGTGCCTTTCATAATAAAATAGCCAATATTTCTCCACTGTAATTTTTAGTGTCTAGTGTTTGGCTCTGCTAGTGCCGGGTGGACGAACTCTCTCTGTTCTGTAACACTTGTTAAAATAGAATGTACCAAGAATAAAAGGCTAAAGTCAAGAAATTATTCTTACATCAGAGCCATTTCTTTGCATATTACTGTTCAATTGAGCAATATTTTTCTATTTCAGAACTCTTTTAATAACTAAATTGTCTCTTTAGATTTGGTTGTAATTCCAGGCTTGAAAATTAGGTAAGGGAAACATTTCTAATTTCATCTCAATTTTCCAGGCCATGCTCTTTTACAGGTTTATCATAAATTAAATATAAGCTCAAACAAATATGAAGTGAAGTGTCAAAAGCAAATTAATTCTATTGGGTGTCAGTGCTTGGGTCAATCAACACATGCCCAGATTTATTTCCCAGGTCTCTGCCAAATGTATAAGGGGAGAAGAGGAAGAGAAAGACAAGACTTCATCTCCAGCTTGCAGTTTGAACATGGGAGTGTGGAGGAATGGGATAAGTAAGTGAGCTCCAAAACGGGGCAGAGAGACTCAAATCCTGCCTTGGTCAGGTACTCACTGTCTGTATCTTTGTCTCTCAGATAGTTCCTTCCTTCACCTATAACAACGGTTCTCAACCTGTGGGTCACGACCTCTTTGGGGGTTGAACGACCCTTTCACAGGGGTCGCCTAAGACCATCGGAAAACACGTATATAATTACATATTGTTTTTGTGATTAATCACTATGCTTTAATTATGTTCAATTTGTAACAATGAAATTGGGGGTCACCACAACATGAGGAACTGTATTAAAGGGTCACGGCATTAGGAAGGTTGAGAACCATTGACTTATAACATGGGAGTGATGTTAGTTACTTTATAAACCTGTTGTCAGAGTGGCCTGTGATCCATGCCTAGCACTCTGCATACTTGGTACTCACTTCACAAAATTATCTCGAGAATTCATTTAAAGTTTTGAACTCAGGGGTGCATCAACGTACATTCACTTGACTGTGAGTTGAGAGAAGGGACACATCTTTGTATGCCTGGAACCAAGAACAAGGATTGTACAATGTAAGGAAGGGCTTCAACTGTATTCTGTGGATACAGAGTGAATATCTTCTCATCTTTCACATGTATGATCATCTTTTATCAGTTGCTATTATGGTTGCAATTGTATTTGACAAGAACGCAAGGCCCAGGAATTTTCCAATAGCTGGCTAACACCTTCATTAATTCACAATGCATATTCTAGGACAAATCATTCTGTTTATTTTTTTAAAAGGCTTTCCACCAAGTCCCGATATAGTATTCTTATCATATAATGCTATGAGAAAGCCTTTTTAGCATGGGCTATAGTCAGTAGGACAACTTATCTCCTTGGCCTCATTTCTCTAGATCTACATAATAATCTCAATTTTCCTTCTTACTACTATGATGGTGAGTAAAATAGATTTCCCCCAAAAGAAAGGAGAGCAATTATCTATTTAAATTTCTTGTACTAACAACGGAATAACATGGCCTGAGTTGTTCTTGGACTTGATCCCTGCAAAGCAGCAAGTCTAGTTTGTGGGGTTGATGTGTAAAAATAAGCCCTGAACACCAAACACTACTTCCTCACAATTGGCATCATAAATTAAAATTATCCTAGCCCCATCGCATTTCCCTCTTTCCAATGGGATAGATATAACTCTTCAGTTCTAGCATAGCCCTTGCTAATTTTATCATCTTGAAGCAGTTATTTATTATTCTCAAGTATTAATGTTTTTATCTGGAAATTAAGATATTTCATTTCAGGGGTGTTTGGGGGAGGAAAGAAAAGACTATAGAAGACATTTCTGGAATGTAGCCAGTACTGAAATAGTGTTAATTCTCTTACAAAGCTTTTTTTCAGGTTAGTTTGCTTTTACTATCTATTAGTCACCTTGACCTTAAAATTTTATGATACAAACCAAAAGCAGAGGTTAGTGGGGAAAATAGGAAAACAAAAAGGTGAAAAGATAATATGCCAACTGGATATATACCCCAATGAACAGTCATTGCCTGTCTGTCCAGTCATTTTTCCCTCTTTCTGGAAATTGTTTCTCCACTCTCACTCCCTCCTTCTGGGAAATGGTCTTTCTCCCATTTTGGCCATCTAGTCTGAACGGGAGCTGGCACTTCTTATAAGTCTCAGCCACACGTAAGGATCTGAGATGAGTCAATAAATCCAGAGTGACACTACTCACTGCCTGACCTTAGCTGATGGGTCTGGGAATGAACCCTTCACTCAAACTGGACAAACTAGTTTTTTAACGTGAAAAAGAGACAGCAGGAGTCAATCATTTTCTGGTGATGATAATGAAAGATTGAAGATGGAATTGCTGCCAGATTCTATATTTTGTGTTAGTGGGAAAACCTTTCCTAAGAAAATAAAGCCAACATGTGGATAGAAAACATGTAGTGTTTTCTGGAGACATTGAAGTTTCTATTCCCAATTGGCCCCTGGGCCATATTTGCTTTTTTGTGTGGTTACAAGTCTTCCAATAAATTCCTTTTTTTTTTTTTTTTTTTGGCTCAACTAGTTTTCTGTTGGCTTGCTGTCACTTTTAACTAGAAGTAAACCTGACTTAGAAAATCCTTTACAAAAAATAAAGACCCCATAAATCCTCACTCCAGGGCCAACAGGAGGTTCTAGAATGTGAGTGAATAAGAGAGCCTGAAGTCAGGGCTGTTGAAGAGTGGATATTGCCCTTATCTGGCTCTAAAAATGGACCTAAGTTGTCAGGGATTGAAGATAGGGGCAAAGAAAATGTTGGGAGGTAAGAGGCCATCCATAGGAATCTTCTAGCCATTAGGAGCACAATCAGAGAGTAAACAATAAAAATAAAAAACATTCAGGCAAATAGAAGGAGTCAAGAGCCAGAGTCTGTGAGAAACATAATTAAAGGAGCAAACAGGCTAGAATGGGTAGTTGTATCAGTACCTGAACATCAGCATCTGGATCACAGATCCTGCTATGATACAAAGAAGCCAGTGCTCTGATTATAAGGTGACTGTGAAACCACATGCAGAAGGGAAAGGCGCTGTTAAATGGATGTTTGGAAGTGGACAGAATATCATCTCACCCAAGACAATGATTTCAAGAAGACAATTTTCAAATGATGTTTTCATTCTTCATTTGTATCATCTGTTGATCCGAAGTAGGCACTTCTAGCTCATGAGTGAGGCTCTAAAGTAAAAAAAAAAAAAATAAAAAAATTTAAAGAAGTTATAAGTTATATTCCCACTTTTAGAATACTTGGCATATAAAAATTCAAATTTGCAAGGTTATTATTTTTTTACCTGAAGGATTATTTATTTTGCAAAAGATTTACTATAGTGTTTCTTTAATCTAGGTAACAACCTTTCCCCAAAATAGTTAAATATGAGTCACTCATATTGTATTTAACATTTCAGGATACATCTCTTATATAAAGAAAGCAAACCTGTAAACACAAATAAGTTGTCCAATGGAGTTAATATTGCATGGTTTTGTCTGCTGTAATGATATGTAAGAGTTCAAAATTTGGACATAAACTCATCTCATTCCAGATTACTATTTTAACAGTTCTCAGATGTGCTGTATATGTTGATTCATTCATACCATCAAGAGGAAGAAGTTATAGATCTTTCAGTGGATCTTCAGAACTCAACATTCAAGGTTATAAATTCACTAATATTATAGCAAGCACTATCGTATGGCGAATAATAACCATCATCTCTTATATGAATAGTCCTTTGGAACAAAGAACTCTTTCCCACTTATAATCTTACATGCCTTATTGCAATCCTTTGAAGCAGGTACTCTAGGCACCCCCTCCCCCCTTTTTTTAAGAATGATAAAATTGAGGCTGGAACATTAAATGACTTGCCCAAGATTATACATGGGAATAGTAAATAGGAGAGCCAAGATCCATTTCCATTTCTTTTGACTATGTTGCTTTCCAGTACAATACAGCTGCTTCACAACAAAATACCTTATCTGTCCTTAAATGAGCTGTCTGAGATAGTTTACAAATGACAGTAACAACTTCCTCTTAAGGCAGTTTTCTGTTCTCCAAGCATGATACTGTGTAATTGGCCCAGGACTGAACTTCTGGATAATTGCTCTGAAATCAAAGCCTAAAATGCATTTAAGCAATTTCTCAATTACTTGGCACCAAACTTCTCTTGGATATGATTCTGCTGTCTGATATTTGATAGACATGCCCCAATTTCTATCTGGTAATTTAACTCATACTATTTGTCTATGTTAAACTGATTTAGCAAAATATGTTTATTCTACAGAGTAGAATTTTTGTTTGTTAAATTTGCATGAATACGTTGGAAAAGAATTTTAAAAACTTGAATCTGTATTTAAATATTTGGATATTTTATTATATGTTAAGAGATTTTATTACATCTTTAGATGCTTATGTGTGCACCATGAATATATATTTCTGTGAGGCTGAGAAATATATAATCATTGTGTTTATAGCAATGTGTTTGCTTTATTGAACAAATCTCAGGCTAAAAATTCACTAGAGGCTAAGAATAATCATATGAGACAATGAGCTTGCTTTGGTTTAATAGCTGGGTAGATTTAGGAAAGAACAAAATATTACATTGTTAGAAATAAAACACTTTTTTGGTATTAATAAAAAGTATTGGGAAAGTTAGAATGAGCTTATAATTTCAGGCAAGAAAACAATTGGGAAATAGAAAAATAGTTGATTAGGTTGCTTAATAAATAGCTAGGAAAAAATGACTCTTCTGTATTCAAACAGCTCCACCATATCACTGCAATTCCCCAGTTGGGAATGTTTAATTATGTATTAAAACACTGTTTGCACTAGGGAATGGATATCATTAAGCTTACCACTTTCTCATTACAGTCTTATATATACACTTACAAGTTAAAAAAAATGAAAGAACTTGTCACTTCACACTAGAGAATTTAGAGGGTCTAGAGCATTAAGTAGCCATTATTCATCTTTAAAATCTATGATAACTCAATCATATTATTGTTGGTGACATTCAGAGAGTCCCTTAGTGAATATGTTCAATCTCCAGCTAACTTGTGAAAAGATAAAGGTTTGTCTGAAATAAGCTTGCTGCAATAGTTGCCTCCATTTTAAAATCATTATGTGGTCAGGTTATTTGCTGAGGCCTGTTTCTTCAGTCAAAGTGTGTATGCACAAGACATTTAATTTATTTCATTTAAATTTGCTATTTACAGGACAAATCTTACAACAAGGATTTTATGCTTGGAAAAGTTCTCTTGAAATAACTGCTTGTTTTGTTAAATTTACAGTGTTGCCATATACAGCCAGTTTTTCCAATAAATGCTATATTAACAGGATAATTATTTACATATGGACTTCATTTTATAATAGGAAAATCCAAGCCTTTCATGTATTGTATCAGTCACACTATGCCACATAATTAAGTCAATACAATGTACCCGTGCACACTTAAAATATAGGCAGTTATAAACATTTCTTCACAAACATTTGGCCCATATTCATAGCCTTAGGAGAGTATCTCTCAAGGGAAACCAACTACTTTTGGCATTTTATCCCATCTTGGAGTGAGTGAGATATTTGTGGGTTGGATTCCAAATGTTATTGAAGTTGCCTAGCTACCACATCTCAGCAGAAGGAGAAACTGAGAATTTTGACAGCAATTGGCCATGTCGCAAATTAACATGGGCCTTTCTGACAGCTGGGTGATAGGGAGTTCTCCATTTCCACCTACAGTAGCTCTTGTGCGTATGACTGACTATGGGCACCTGCTAAGGTGAACAGTCTTCACTTGCTCCTGATTCACATCAAGTTTTAGTAGCTGTCAGGTCTCGAGGAACCGAGAGTGAATTAAAAAGTCAGTGAACAAATATTTCTGAACCCTGACCATGTGCCAGGATATGATACAGGGATACATAAGTCCTAATCTGAGGGAGTGGGGATAACAAGGGAAATTTCCCTGAGTTGGAGATCATTAATTTGTAACATGAAGAGGACGTTGGCACAGAAAAGAGGAGCAAATGCCTATATGTTGACTCAGGGAAATAAGCATTGTGTGTTCAAAGATCTCAGGAAAGCTTCATAGGGCTGAAAAGACAATCATATGAAAGGAGCAAGAAGCAATTCTGGGCTGATTCTTAAAAGGTCTTAAAAGGATTATTAAGGATTTTTAGATTTAATCTTAAAATAATAAGAAGTTATCAAAGGGCCATAACAGGAGTTTCATTATTCATGATTATGGTTTTAAAGAGATCCTGTTGGCTACTACGAGGAGAGTGGGTCAGTGGTGGCATGAGAGTGACAATATTAGATGCAGGAGACCAATTAGAAAGATATTATATTGTCACTAGAGGCCCAGGCATGAAATTCGTGCACTGGGGGGGAGGGTCCCTCAGCCCGGCCCGTGCCCTCTCATAGTCTAGGAGCCCTGTCCCTCAGCCCGGCCTGTGCCCTCTCATAGTCTAGGAGCCCCACGATTGATCACCCCAAAGAGGTAGGACCTGCCCACCTGGCCGGGGCTCTGTGATGGATTGCCCCCACAGAGGGAGGTCCTGCCCACCCGCCACAGCCCGCTGCTCGGTGGCCTGGGCCTCCCTCTTTGGGGCAATCGTAGAGCCCCCCAATTGATCGATCGCCCCACTGGCCGGTGGCCTGTGGCCTGGGCCTCCCTCTGCAGGGCAATCATGGGGCAATGGCTGGGCCCCCGCCCAATCGCATTACACCCACCTGGCTGGCCTGGTGCCAGTGGGTGTCATAGCGTGGTTGGTCATTCTGCTGTTTGGTCATTAGGTCGATTTGCATATTACGCTTTTATTATTATAGATTATATTATTGCACCCAGAAGATGGCAGAGCCATGTACTAGATTGGTGCCACCAGGGACTGGATAACTACCTGTGCAAAGTGATGAAAGGGAGGTGGGGATCGAGGAGGAATACGTGTTCTCCTGGACGCCTATGAGCAACAGGAAGAGCAGGAATCTTTGGGAAAGCAGAGTTCTAGGTGCTCATGAGAAACCCAAATGGAAAGGCTGTGTAAACAGATGGATCGATAATTCATGGACTCAGACATAGATTTGAATGGGAGTTATACATAGTAATGGAAGTTTTGAAAATGTTAGTGATTGCCTAGGAAGACATCACTGGACAAAGTCCCAAGGAATTCCAACATCTCATTGCCACTAGGAGAGGTGTGGATAATGGAGACTAGAGTGGCCAGAGAAACAGAAGAAAAAGATCAAAAGTAGAGGCATCAGGAAAGCCAAATGAAATCATTGTTTCAAAAAAAGGAAAATCATTATTGTATAAGGCTAAGAGATAGGATGAAATGCAGACTGAAAAGTATAGTTTAGTGAGGTTTACTTTTAAAGGTGTACTGTTTAAAATATCAGTGACCTGGTGGGAACAATTTTAGTGGAATGGTAGAAATAGAAAGTTAAGAGGTGAATGAGATGTGACTATAGACAACACTGTAAAATTTTGTTGTTGAAAAGAAGTTAGGATAGTAACTGGAATGATAGTTAGCCTTTTAAATAAAAAAATACATGTATACATACATACATACCTTTATACATATATACATACATGTATGCATACATACATATAAAGAACAGGTGCACACATTGGACTGATGATAGAGAGGAGAGATACAATAACTAATCATGCTAGGTTCCTAAGAACATCAACAAAATGATGAAAATTTTTTTCATCATTCATACTTGGGTTGAGTCAATGTGTTTGTGTTAGGTTCCAAATTACCTTAACAGCAGCATTTTTGAAAAAGCAAGTAAAATTTGGGAGATTTGACTATTTATGTAGGTTTCAAGACCAGAAGTTGAGGCAAATTTCATCTAATGGCTTCTATTTTTCTGAAAATTTGGGGAATTACTTGAGGTCCTCTGCTGAGAGGGAGTGGGGATAAGAAGACATGAAATGCTTGAGAAATGTAGAAAAAGAATTATTGTAAGAAGGAAATGTGTACAATGACTATAATGATAGGGTGGGCCTTGTAATCATACTAAGGGCTAAGTTGAGAAAGCTGAACACACACTCACAGTGATAGCCATTTGCCCAATGATGTGACCTTCCCCCGGAAGCACTCATCAACCAGGTATAAAACAGAAGGGTAGCTGGATTCTTAGCGATTGGTTAGCTATTTGTCACAGTAGAGCAATGAAACGCAAGAGAGCA